GGGTTGTGACGGCCCGTGCCTGCCACTGGCGGGGACAGGTGAGAGGAGACAAAGCCGTTTATTGTTTATAACACCTAAAACAATAAAAAACAAACAAACATCCATCTCCTACAGCAATGGACACTAAAATCTTAACACCGCATTTCTTTAAGAAACATAAACAATTAACTGGAACGTTCATCATTTGGTTGATTGGTTGTATCAAACAAAAATAGCATTTATGACTGAAAATAAGAAATATAAATACATAATTTGAAGATTTTTTAAAATTATTTATTGGTTCAGAGTCTAGTATTGTTTACTTCCATCTTTTCCTCACGTCTTACATGGGCGGGAATAAAACACAAAGAGCCCAGTGAGGGAAGCCTGAATGCAGTTAAGTGAACTGAGAAGTACCCCTTAGTAAGATGTGAGGAAATAATATGAGGAGAGACAAATCAGAGAATGGGTGCATCCCAATTCTCTTATAAGCACCCTCATTTCCCACTTGAGTCTTTTTCTTGCGTCTTAGTCCCACCCATGTAAGAGATGAGGAAAATGTGAGAATGGAGGACACACTTAACATAAGACTTCCTTTCTTCAGATGCTTCATCTGACACATCCAATCACCAAATGATTTCTGATAAAGCCTTTCACAAAGCATGCTCTCCTGTATCCTTGCTCTTCAGAGCAGGATTAGGAGCTTTGGGGGCTCCTCAATTAACCAGAAGGACTTCCAGGGCGTGCAAGGTTCAAGGCAAAAGGAACAATCAATTAAGGGAAATGGGATGTATCACAGGTAAAGATGTGTCACAGGAGAATTAGCATTATTCATTAGGTAGTGTTCTGATTGGGTAGGAAATGAATGCACAGGCCACACCTCCAGCCAAGTGAAGCAGGTGCTCATGAATAATGCAAATGATATACCGTCAGAGAACAAAAGGGTGTCTAGGATTTTAAAAACGATGGATTTTGAGGAATCCGAGCAACTAAGTGAATAAAATGTAAAACAGGTGCAGTATTTCTAAATGACAGTCATATCAAATAAATTTGTAATGAAACAAATAAAGAAACCAATGAATCCAAGGTGAATTAAGAACCTCTGGGGCTCCAGGAGCAGGTGCCTGCATGGAAATTAATGATTAAAGTGGACATTTGTCAAGACTAAAGATGACAAGAGAATGTCAAACGGCTGGTGTGTAAAGTTTAAAAGCTTTAATGACATCACACATATCTGACAGTGAAAGAGAGAGAGAGCTTTAAAGTCTACAGGTGCAGTTTCATACATGAGAAAAGCCTTTATGGGCTAACTTCTGTTTAAATATTAAGCCTTAAACAGCTTCTTCTTCATTCCTATAGATGTAGTTCTGATTGTGCAGTAAGATGGCGTTAACTTCCATACATGTTCAGTACAATAGATATACAGTGACGGAGAGCAAGACGAGTATCAAGAGCAGAAAATCTGAATGCGGTGCGAAGAGTCGACGACAAGCAAGCAACCTCATTTCTCCACAGCAGGACCCCCTGCTGTGTGCAGTACATGACATACAATTACCATCAAACATCGACGCATTGAAGTGTTTATTATACATACTGAGATTCATTATCTGTACTAGGGGGATTTGAAGTATATATTGGAACAAAACATTACAAAGAAAAAGAATTTTAAAAAAATATCTTTTTTAGTTTCAGGGGAGGTTCCAGGTGACGCTCCGAGCCTGGCAAAGCATGCAGGTGGACGTTTTTACTTGATACAGCTCCTTGAAGGTGACTGGCTGTTTTTAAGAGCAAAAGAAAATGGCCAACAACAAAAACAAATTAAAATAATAATAAAAATAAAATGCACTCTTGGTCCAATTTCTCAATGGTAGAGGAAGAATGTAGGTTGTCTTTTAAGACACCCTCACAAAATTGAGGAAATAACTCAGATCTGGTTCCAAAACGGTGAAAAATAAAAACCAACAATGTTGAAAAGGAACAAGCAAAAGAAAATTAAGTGAGTGGTCCCTGCTGACATGACAGTGTTAGTTTAGACGTTGTGGCATAACAGCAGTCTGTGAACAAAGTGAGTGGGGACAGTTTTGGACGAAACATTGTGATCATTTAACGGTTCATCATCGACGAACAAACACATGGATGAATCGACAGAGTGAGAAGGACAGCGAGTGTTGTGACATGAAAGTGGTGTGTTGTCGACGAAACAGCAAACATAAGAGCAAAAGACACAGTTTAAGCTCAGACACTGCTGTGACAGACATTTGTTAATGATGAACTGCTGTTCACAGCATCTAAACCAAAACCACCACCGCGCTCACTTTGTGGGATCATCACTTCACGGACGATGACGTCACATTACCACGTCTGCGTGGCCTCAAACACAGTATTGGTGTTCGACCTGAGCTGCCACACCACCGACCACGAGAAAGAGAAAATCAAAGCGAACATTACAAAACACAAGAAACTAGAAACAAACTGTGCTGGGAATAAACACACAGAACAATCAGAACCTGAAGTTGCACTTTGGTGAAACTTGTACAGTTTTCTGCTCCTCCTTTGAACTTTCCCAGCCATCAGCTTCTGCCATTGGCTGTTTAGTCATGACCAGGTTTGAGTATTTTATGACTAATCTTGAATTAAAATCCTCTAAAATGTAGGAACAAATCTGTTCAAAATCTGTTCAAAGACTTAAAAGCCAACATTATGGAAAATACTGTCACAATTAATGGATTCATTATTTTATATAGTTTTGTCTGAAGTGTTTTCCAAATCTTGGTAGATGTCTCACAGATGAATGAGTGCTTTCAGCACTAAAGCCTAGTTTGAATGAACAGGAAATGTCAGAGGTTGACAGCTGGTAACGTTAGCATTCTAAGAACGGTGAGTGACTTCATGGTCTTACTGGTAAAACACGCTGGAAGCATTTTCTACGCCCATCTCACAATGCACATAGAATTCCACTACATCATATGTGTCAATCCACACCGAATGTCCTGCTTCCAGTGTTTTACCAGTTGTGAGAGAGTGCTCAGACAGGTTTGGTGCAATATCGGAGACGTTTCAGCAGCTTCATTATTCTGTGAAGCAAACACCTCTGTGAAGCTAAAGGCAGCTCAAATCTGAGCACGTGCTCTGAGGCAGGTTCCAGTTCTGCACGTTTCCAGCTGAAGGCAGGTAATGTGAAAGGATATGTTTTTAAAGAAGCTAAATATGACACATCCTGCCTCAGAGCATGTGTCCAGATTTACTCCGTTTCACCAAAGTGCCTCAACATTTCTCTTCTACTGCTTTTTCTTGCTGAACAGGCTGAAGCGTTTCTCCTTGTCCTTCTCTTTGTCCTTCTCTCTCTTGCTGGGACTCGACTCGGTGTTGAGCGCGACTGTGGCCGGCAGCGTCTGGGCGCGCCCAGAAGCCGGTGTGCCTGGGTTGCTGCCCTGCACGTCGGAGCAGTCAGTGGTGCTGGCGTTCAGGATGGCCTGGATCCAGGTGCTCATCTCTTCCTGCAGGGGGCGACACAGGTCATTTACAGACATACCAACATTGTTCGAAGCTTCTTTATTTTTCTCATCTCAGCCAAAACTGTCCAGGGTGAAATTTACAAGGTGGGTGCTACTAATCTGTTCTATCTGCATTTCACTGAAAGAAAAACAATCAAACTCACTTCATCTTTGGCTTGGAACAGATACTCATTTCCATCAGTCACTCTGCAACAAGGAGAGAAGACCAAACCATCTGACAAACATACATAAATATATATGTACATCACTTATACAGCTTACTTTCATAGCAGCTGATGGGCAGGTGGATTTAACAGCAGTTTATCTTTTGAATTCCTGATAAAATCACACCTCTGCTGTGACACAGTCTTTGTTTTCACAATGCAAACAACTGTTAATGGTTCCATATTAAGGAGCCAAGGACTCTCAACTCTGCCAAACACGACCCTGTTTTAGTGCACGTAGATGCTCAACATCTGGAGCTCAGACTGGCTCTTCATCTGGTACATGAGCAGGACGCTAAATCCCTCCTGTGGATCAGATGTGAACAGTAGCCTGCACTGAGCAAACACACTGGACTTCACTTCATTTCTTTCCTATGAAGAAGACGACGAGATGCAGCAGACTGACTGCACCAGAGTCCAGTCTGTTGGCCTCACAGGTGTCAATTCAAACAAATGGTTTCAGACTGACGTGTCACCGTCTTCCACCAGAAAACAGTGAAGACAGCCTTGTTACCTGAGCTTGAAGACATGTTTCTTCTTCTTGTAGTCTGAAGCCACGTCGCACGTTGCCTCCTTCAGGCTGATGGGTACCTCGTTGTGGTAAGGGACTCCCTGACCCGCCGCCTTGCTGTCCTTGTAGAAACCCATCTCCTGGTTGTTGATGACACAGTACACATTGTGCCACGACCTGCCAATCACAGGGCAGCAGGATCATGTGATGAACAACCCGCTGAGAGGAGCAAGACATCAGCTGCAGTGGAGGATCTTTGTTGTTACCTGTTGGATGCCTTCTTGTTGTGGCCCTCCCACTCGTGTTTGCGGTGCAGGAGTCCCTCCAACTGCGAGGATGAGTCCTGGTTCTTGGAGGGCTGCGCAGACAACTGGCTAGTTTTACTCTTCCTGCCGGAGGTCGGGGAGGGGGCGGGGCTTGCCTCCTTGGAGCTCCGCTCAGCCACGCCATTCACCATGTCTCCACCATCAACACCGTCCTGAACACAGCCCATTAGTCAGAGAGGTTACACAACATGCTGAACATACACAGAGCTGCTGCTGATTCATCGTGACGTTAAAGTTCGTGAGATGACAAAGTGTAGGATTTACTGCAGGACTTGGACTGAGTTAGTTTGAAACAGGCGTTCCTAATAAACTGACTACTGAATGCATGTGGTAACATGAACATCGGTGGTTAGTGAGAGCACTGACCCGAGGGGAGTCGTGGTCTGAAGGCAGTCCATTCTGCACGATGACTCCGCTGCAGACACACAGTCAGGAAACCTTTAGAGTTACTGTACAACTCACAGCTGCACTTCTTCTAACGTGCACCACAACTTTCACCTGTGAAAAAAAACTGGATCACTGCTTCTTCCAGAGACGGCGGCTTCCTCCTCCTCTCCTCCTCCTCCTGCAGCCTCCTCAGCTCTAGCAGCTCCAGCTGGAAAACACATGTTCATGATCCAAATCAGAACGACAAACACTGATCTGAGATGAGCCTAGAGTTTCGAATCCTACATTAACCAGTGGTTCATTTCTCTTTTTCTTCTATACTCTGATTTATATCTCAGAAGAGGTTCAATAAACCAACCAACAAAAGGTACACTCTAACCCACACCCTCTCCACATGTATATGGAAAATACACACCGATCAGCCATATCATTATGACCACCTGTCTAACATAGGAGTCCCTGTGGCAGTCGGTCGGCACTTGTATCACTCTGCAGCTCACTGTGCATCTTCTGTGAATCCATGTGCTTCCACAGTTCAACTGTCAGGAACAGATGTGTCTACAATTCAGTGAAAAACTTAAGTAAAAGGAGTGAAAACTGGTCATGAGGACGAGTTAGAGAGAATTATTTAGACCAGTCCAACAGCCTCACCGCTCTAGGTGTGATATCACCACTACAGCCCCCGACTCTTTCTCTTCATACAGACCAATGGACAGTGTTTCTCATTTTCAACCATTTTAACAAAGATTCAAATAAATTTTTTTGAACAGTACAAATGGAAGTTAAAAGTTTAATCTACAGTAGGTCAACCTCATCATCAGTGAGCTGTGGGCGTCCATGACCCTGTCTCCAGGTCACCGTTTGTCCTTAGACACTGTTGGTAGGTACTAACCACTACAGACCAACAACACCCACCAAGACCTGCAGACTGGGAGATGTTCTGACCCAGTTATCTCACCATCACAGTCTGGCCCTTGTCAAAGTCACTCACATCCTTACACTGGCCCATTTTTCCTGCTTCCAACATGTCAACTTTGAGGACTGAATGTTCACTTGCTGCCTAATAAGACTCTGCAAAGGTAAAAACTGTGACAAGTGACAAAAGAACAACATTGGTGTCACAGAGGAGTTGTCCCTCCAACATTCAAGCAGCAGTGCGGTTCTGTGTAGAACAGCTCCTCCTGACTCTGTCTACTGGCGTCAGGACATGGATCGGTCTGGGTGTTTCAGGGACACAGACTAACCTTTGTATCTAACTCTGATTTGGTTAAAGCATGAACAGACTTCTATGAGTGTCTTTATTTTCACACTGTCACAGTGACGCAAATGTGTTTATGCTGTAAATAAACTACATCTCTTTGTAACAACAGAACTTTTTCCCTCTACAATACTGTAAGGTCTCGACCGTACTTTGTGACTGTGAACTTGAATTAAAATAAGCTTCTTTCATTTGGTGCCTGTGTTTTGTCCGTCCCTGCTCACCGTAGTCAGCCTCTCCAGAGCAGAGAAGCGCTCCTCCCAGGTGGCGGCTGACTTCTCGAAGGCCTCGTGGCGTTTGATGAGCTTCTCCACCTCGTCCACGCTCTGACCCACCTCCCTGCTGGACAGGTAGGGCTCCTGACCCAGCAGCCAGGCCTCGGCCACCCCCGCGTCCCGGGAGAACTGGTGCACCTCCAGGACTGGGGGGACAAATGTCACACAGTCGGTGGAAAGGAATGAACCGAAAAGGTCAGAGCTTCACGGACACAGACATCCTGGCCCGAATACAAGACCTGACCCCATGTTTGCATCATCTGTTGTTGAGGACGGGAAACGGGTCGTGCTGGGAACACGTCCCAGAGATCCCATTAATGCAAGGAGAAGACGGGGGTTGGTCTACACAGCAGGAGGCCAGATTTCACACACATCATTTGGGTCTACATAACACACTTATACTACACTTGTTCCACTAGAGTACATCATCAGCTCCACTCTCCATCGTGTTTCCCTGGTCATGTAGAACAACTCTGTGTCAACCGTTTTAGATTTATTACATCTCAGTAGAGGTGTAACGATACCAACACAGACAGTGACAATTTCACCAACTCTGAAACATTATGAGCATCATAAAAGTCATGTTATGTACTGGACCGTAGAGGAAAACCTGGTGAAGTGCTCTGTGAGCGTGAAAACATGTGAACATGTGTCCTGGTGTTACCAAGTAGGCCCAGCATCATCAGACCCTCCTGAGGTGCCTAGGGCTCCATCTCATTAATCTGGGGAATGTTCCTTTAAGTGTTAAACGGCATGAGCAGCCTGCTCTCATCCCAGGAAACATTTTTAATGAAATCTGATCTGATGACACTTCCTGTAAAAGCAGCACATCGTCCGCCCTGATGAGTCGATGGAAGAAAAACACCCGCAGCAATTCCTGATTGGTCAGAGCCACAGGTTTGACGGACAGCTCGGAAGAAGCTTGTCCTTCGTTAAAGGACAGCGAGAGACTGGGGAGTCTTCATCAGTACTAACTCACCCCTGGAGCGACCAATCAGCTGCAACATGCCGTCATCACCCTGAGGCATCCTGTCATTTGTTAAACAAGAGTGGCTCCCAAAGTGGGTCACTTCTATTTTACTGTACATTTCTAGTTACGCTTCATCACAGAGGAAGGGACTTTTACTTTGAAGGATAAATGTCACCCAGAGAGCCACACTGCTGCACTGGGGGGCAGGTTTCCTCCTCAGGAAATACAGGAGGTAATCTACTTCCAACAAACAGCTCCACAGGCTGAGAACGGCGTCGCCGTGCACAGAGTCGCTGGTCTCAGCTCTGGTCACACTGCACAGACTGACATGTCGGAGATGTCTGTGGGAAACATGCAGCAAACTGGAGGACCCTGTGTGACATCAGGAATCATTAGCATATTTAACCCAGAACTTACTGAGACGAAGCCACTCCCATCGATCCTCCCACTTGTCAATCATTTCTTTCCTCTTGTCTGTCAGCTGCAGCAACTTGTCCTTAATCTGAACACAAAGACAGTCAAATCAGTTAGACTGTTATTATTTCAGCACAACTGGCTGCCATCTTTTATGCGTTTTAACCTTTACTTAGCCAGATAGGTCCCTGAGAGGCCACCTCTCTCCTGTCCCTGTTAAATCAATGAGTGCATTTGCCCTCCATGTTCGCCTGCCCCACACCTGGGTTAGGTGTTAGGGTTCAAGTTTTGTTACAAACAAGAATCTGTCCACAAACGAGTGGAATCCGAGACATGGCAGAAAACATCGAGTTGTTGTTAGTCAGTTTAGGAACTTTTAACATAATTTCAAGAATAAAGTTGTAATGATGTGAGAAAGAGCGTTGTGTTCCCAGTTGCTTGGATCACTCATGCATGTTTCAGCGCCTCCTGACGCAGCTGATCCTGTACAGCTCCTGTCCACTATGCAGCTCACAGCCCTGCAGCTCATGTTAACGTCAGCTCGTCTCTGTGCTGCACAGCTCTGCCACAAGCACCCGACACCGAAACCTCTCCAAGGCCTCGTTTGAATGTTCAGGAAGCAGCAGAGAGCTGCACTGCGACAGAGGCAGGAGGCGTGTCTGAACTGTGTGTTTCTGGTCCACACACAGCCACCACTGCACAGATCAGTAACACTGGGGGTTAATCTGCTCCCGATGTCCTGAACATCTGGAGGAAATCCAGCTGTTCTTGTGCCTCAGCTGCTGCTGACATGCACATCATGTCAGTTCAGTTAATTTCACAGTCCTAAGATGCCTGATAGTAAGGAGCTTGTCAGCTCATGACTTCAGGTCATCAACATTTGACCCTAACAGCTGCTGACGCTCTCACCTGTTTACTGTGATGGAGTTGCTACAATCTCACTACATGAACTTTATGGTCATTACATCGCTTTCCACTCAAACGTCACAGCTGTTTTTGCATCGTGCTATATGCAGCTGTTGTCTTTGCGTCTCTCACCTCCTCTGAAGCGTAATGCTTGCGGGCCAGCAGGGCCTTGCCCAGCTCGATGCAGGCTGTGAAGCTGTCATTTCGGGCGTCGATCTCAGCTTTGATGCCCTGGTGGTTGTTCATCAGCAGCTCCACTGACGACACGTCTCTGGAAACACAGAACAGCTTCAGCCATCATAGCTCCCCTCAGAAGACATGAGGTCAACATGCAGCACACTGAGTCTACCTGGGTTTCTCCTGGGCCTCGATGAGCCGGATCACGTCGTCCATCCAGAGCATCAGGTCTCGGACCATGCTGAAAAACCGGAACTTGTCCCCAGTGTCAAGGAGACGCAGTCGGCGTCCGTCGCATGCCCCCAGCAGACTCCTCCAGGCCTCCAGCACCTCGCTTTCCCTCCGCTGGATGTCGTCGGCTTTATCTCCGGCATATGCCGACTGGAGACGAACCGCGTCCTCCTGCAGCTGCCTCACCTGCCACACAGGGTCAAAGGTCAGGAGAGCTCAGCTACTCATGGCTTTAGTCTGATGTGCCAAACAAACAGTAGGTGTGTGACGTCCTAGGAAAGCTGACAGGTGCTGATGCAGGTTAAATGAATTTGGATGGGCTCACTGCCTCGGGCTATTGCACCACCTGCTGGCAGATGCAGTGAACTACACCTGATGCCACTCGTTTATAAATGGACCATTTCTGTGTTGCACACAGATGGTTTTTAACAACTAGATGAGCATTTCCTGAGGAAACTGTGTGAGGCATTGATGCCGACTTCATCATCATGAAAACTTGGTGACCTTAGTGACCGGGTTATATCGTTTGCATTAGACTTTATGAAGTCTCCATGTTATTACAATGACCTCGTTCACAGTGGGTCAGTGTGCAGTTTGGAGTACTGTACTGTGGCTAGAACATAAATACAGTGGGTGTCTATGTTTAGTAAAAAGAAAAGTCTTGGTAGCCATCTACAAAGACTTAGACACAATTAATCGCCTCTGTGACATTAAAACTGCAGGAAACCCCATAAAATTACACACGTTGTGATATATGATTGTATATGTCACATATATTTACTCAAGTTATTTATGTAAAGTTCTGCCTGTTATAGTGAAACAATTTTAGTCTAAAATACAGAAATGCTGGTATGACCAGGACCGAATAGCGGGTAAGTTTCTGTACACATTTATCACACACCTCAAACAGGAAAATATGTCCCCATAAAGCAGGTTCGAGTCTGACTGACCTGTGTCCCCAGGGCCTGGATGTCATGTTCGAAGGTGGTGTGCATCCTCTGCAGCATTTCCACCGTGTTCTGGTCTCGGCCAACCTCCTCTGGCAGCTTCTTCTGCTTGTCCAAGATGCGTCCCAGGATCTCCTTGGCGTCGTGGTAGAACTTGTGGAGCTCAAATGAGGCGGCGAGAATCTGTGTCCTGGTGTCGATGAGCTCCAGCAGGTCGGCCCAGGCCTCATTCAGCCCATCCTTCCACTCTGCCACTGTTGCTGCATCGCTGTGACCAGTGTTGATCAGTTCATCTGCCAGACGGTTAACGGCATCCACGCGCTCCTGACCAATGTTCCCGGTGTCGCGGGCAAACTCCCGGAAACGCTCCTGCAACATCTGAGCACAAGGACACAGGACAGATATTAAAAATATTAATACAGAAGTATTAACTGTAGTAACAAAAAAAAAGAGTAGCAGTACTGACTGAACAGAAGACAGCACAGCAAAAGAAGTAGTGCGCTACCAGTCAGATTGAATTCAATAGGATTCCTATGAATCACCGGAGTAGTAATCTACTAGTGCATACTGGTATGACTTACTGTCCTGTAATCCTGCCTGGAATCCTTCAGATGTACTATTAGTAGTACTATCAGCCAACAGTTATAGTACTTCAACATGCATCTCTTTGTCTATAGTTCTGGCTCACAAAGGAAATTAGTTCCTACAACAAAGTGGTTGTGCTAGTGGTAGTATCAGGATGTAATGTCGGTAGCACTACTGTCAGATATGCTGCTTTCAAGGGCCTGCAGTCCTTGCTCTGTTGGGAACATTAGTAGAAAGAGTAGCAGTAGTACTGCTGGTATCAGCTGTATCGGTAGCAGTACTGACAGAGTATCCCTGGCCTGGTTCCTGCAAGCTGACATTACCTCTCGCTTAGTTAGCAGCAGTCAAAATATCATAATATTATTAGTAGTACTGATGACTATCTAGCCACAGGAGTTTCAAACCGGTGACTTCTGTGTCTGTCCCAAGCCCGGATAAATAGAGAGAGTTGTGTCAGGAAGGGCATCCGGTGTAAAAACATGCCAAATTTAAACATGCGAATCATCAGTGTTCTATACTGAATTGGTCGAGGCCCGGGTTAACAACAACTGCCACCAGTGCTGTTGACCTACAGGGTGCTGGCGGAAATCGGACTACTGTTGGTCGAAGAAGGAGAGGAGGTAGAAGGATTCGTAGACAGAGAGAGAAGAGGAAAGGCAGGAGTATAGGTCTGAGAATAGGGACTCTTAACGTTGGCACAATGACAGGGAAAGGTAGAGAGCTGGTGGACATGATGGAGAGAAGGAAGGTAGATATACTGTGTGTGCAGGAGACCAGGTGGAAGGGTAGCAAAGCACGTAGCATTGGAGGGGAATACAAACTGTTTTATTATGGTGTGGACAGGAAGAGAAATAGGGTAGGAGTGATCCTGAAGGAGGAGCTGGTGAGGAATGTTTTAGAGGTGAAAAGAGTGTCAGACAGGGTGATCAGTCTGAAGTTGGAAATTGAAGGGGTAATGTTGAATGTAGTCAGTGGTTATGCTCCACAAGTAGGGGGTGAGTTAGAAGAGAAGGAGAGATTCTGGAGTGAGTTAGATGAGGTGATGGAGAGTATTCCCAGAGGGGAGAGAGTGGTGATTGGGGCAGACTTCAACAGGCACATTGGTGAGGGGAAGAAAGGTGATGAGGAGGTGATGGGCAGGTTTGGTGTTAAGGGAAGGAACCTAGAAGGACAGATGGTGGTGGACTTTGCTAAGAGGATGGAAATGGCTGTAGTTAACACCTATTTCCAGAAGAGGGAGGAACATAGAGTTACATATAAGAGTGGAGGTAGGAGTACGCAGGTAGACTACATTCTATGTAGACGAGGCAATCTGAGAGAGATTAGTGACTGTAAAGTGGTGGTAGGAGAAAGGGTGGCCAGACAGCATTGGATGGTGGTGTGTAGGATGACTCTGGTGGTCAGGAAGAACTTCCAGATGACTGGGAAACTACAGCAGAAGTGATCAGGGAGACAGGTAGGAAGGTGCTAGGTGTGTCATCTGGAAGGAGGAAAGAAGATAAGGAAACGTGGTGGTGGAACGAGGAAGTACAGGACAGCATTCAGAGGAAGAGGCTAGCTAAAAAGAAATGGGACGTAGAAAGGACTGAAGACAGTAGACAGGATTACAAGGAATTGCAGCATAGAGTGAAGAGGGAGGTGGCAATGGCCAAACAGAAAGCATATGATGAGTTGTATGCCAGGTTAGACACAAGGGAAGGTGAGATGGACTTAGCAAAGATTAGAAAGGATGAGGTGAGGAAGGCTCTGAGGAGGATGAAGAGTGGAAAGGCTGTTGGTCCAGATGACATACCTGTAGAGGTGTGGAAGTGTCTAGGAGAGACAGCAGTGGAGTTTCTATCTAGTTTGTTCAACAGGATTTTAGAGAGTGAGAAGATGCCTGAGGAATGGAGGAGAAGTGTACTAGTGCTGATCTTTAAGAACAAGGGTGATGTGCAGAGTTGTAGCATCTACAGAGGTATAAAGTTGATGAGCCACACAATGAAGCTATGGGAAAGAGCAGTGGAAGCTAGGCTAAGAAAGGAAGTGGATATCTGTGAGCAGCAGTATGGCTTCATGCCCAGAAAGAGCATTACTGATGCCATTTTTGCTCTGAGAATGTTAATGGAGAAGTATAGAGATGGTCGGAAGGAGCTGCATTGTGTCTTTGTGGATTTAGAGAAAGCGTACGACAGAGTGCAGAGAGAGGAGCTATGGTACTGTATGAGGATGTCAGGAGTGGCAGAGAAGTACGTCAGAGTAGTTCAGGATATGTATGAGAGGAGTACGACAGTAGTGAGATGTGCTGTAGGTCAGACAGAGGAGTTCAAGGTGGAGGTGGGGCTACATCAAGGATCGGCTTTGAGTCCCTTCTGGTTTGCTATGGTGATGGACGGGTTGACAGATGAGGTCAGACAGGAATCTCCATGGACAATGATGTTTGCGGATGACATTGTGATCTGTAGTGAGAGCAGAGAGCAGGTGGAGGAACACCTGGAAAGGTGGAGGTCTGCTCTGGAAAGAAGAGGAATGAAAGTCAGTCGTGGTAAGACAGAATACATGTGTATGAACGAGAGGGAGGGAAGTGGAACAGTGAGGTTACAGGGGACTGAGGTCAAGAAGGTGCAGGAGTTTAAGTATTTGGGGTCAACAGTCCAGTGTGATGAGGAGTGTAGGAAAGAGGTGAAGAGGCGAGTGCAGGCAGGTTGGAGTGGGGGGAGAAAGGTGTCAGGAGTGTTGTGTGACAGAAGAGTGGCAGCAAGAATCAAAGGAAAGGTGTACAAGACAGTAGTGAGACCAGCTATGCTGTATGGGTTAGAGACTGTAGCAGGGAGGAAAAGACAAGAGGCAGAGATGGAGGTAGCAGAGATGAGGATGTTGAGGTTCTCTTTAGGAGGGACCAGGATGGACAGGATTAGGAATGAGCACATCAGAGGGACAGCTCAGGTCGGCTGTTTAGGGGACAAGGTCAGAGAGGCCAGATTGAGATGGGTTGGACATGTGCAGAGGAGGGATAGTGGTTATACTGGTAGAAGGATGTTGGAGATGGAGCTGCCAGGCAAGAGGTCAAGAGGAAGGCCAAAGAGGAGATATATGGATGTGCTAAAAGAGGACATGAAGTTAATTGGGGTGAGAGTAGAGGATGCTGAGGATAGAGTTAGGTGGAAACAGATGATTCGCTGTGGTGACCCCTAACGGGAACAGCCGAAAGAAGAAGAAGACTAGTGGTACTGATGACGCGTGTCATTTAGCAGTAGTAGTAGTGGTGGTGGTATCCAGTGTCAGTACTGGTATTAGTTGCATGACATACTACAACATGTTCACAGTCCCATCTCAGGTGACCTGACCACCAAATCCCTCTCAGGCTGCAGTAGTATTATTAGTACTCAGAGATGTACGGATACCAAAAGGTCATGGTTCGATGTTGCCACCATAAAAAGTCCATGATACGATATGAAAAAAAATTAAGAACAAATATTAAAAATGCCCTTTACTAAATACTAAATCAGTGGTTTTGTGTGATTTTCCTGTGAACTTAAAGTGCTCCTGCTTTCCCTCTTCATCACAGTAAAAGCAGCCAGCCAGGACCTAAGCATGTGCGAATAGTCACTGGCGCTGACTGAACTGTTGGTACAACTGAAAAAAAGAACAAACAACAGCGCAGCGAGGCGATTTTCCAAACATCGTGGTCTACTTTTCAAGAGAAAAGACTTTAGGGGTGGTTACTAAGTGGTTGGTTGTTCATATGTGTGCCTGGTGGGTTTCTGCTCTGTTTCGAATTCTGCACCTGAAGGCAGTTACACCAGTAAAATAAACAATATCCTGGTAGATACTGTCACAGTCCCATGGCATTATCAAGACATTCCTCTATTGTACTCAGACAGTACCAGCAGCAGTGCCATTATTAATGTTAGTAGTACTTGCAGTAACGTACAGTAACGTGCTCATAGTCCTGTCCCAGCTCGTGCGACCCGGCCACCACCTCCCGCTCAGCGATCCACTGCTCGAGGTCGTCAACCTCTCTGTTCAGCTGGAAGAGGCGGAGCCTTTCATCCAGTTTGCCCCGCCTCTCCTCAGACAGGTCCTTCAGGCCGGCGTACAGCTTATCCACCTGAGACTGACGCATGCTGATGCGCTCGCTGATGACACACACAAACATACACAGTCCTGTTACTGAGGAAGAGTTACTGGACTGTATTGGGTGAACTGGTTCAGCGTTCACAGTGCTTGACCCAGGATTGTCTGAAGGGGGTCAGATGGGCCCAGTAGTACTTTTCTGGGGGCCAGAGCTCCATCCAAGAGGGACAATAACCATCACTGTGAATCCTGTAAGGGCAGCTTTAGTGTTTTATGGTGCATTGCTGCCTGTCCTCACAGTGCAGTCAGACAAACGTGTTCATACCTCTCGGGGTGTCCATCAGCCACCAGGCCTCTGCTGGTCTTGGACAGCTGGTGGACCGTCTCGGCGTAGTCCTCCACTGCCTGCTCCACAATCTGATGCTTCTTCAGCATGGTGACAGCGCTCTGCTCATCCTGCAGCACACGCACAAATAACCTCTAATATTACAGCTCGTAAAAATGCGTTTGTTTGTTTTGAAAACCAAAATAAAGTGAACTATTAGTGAAGGGTGTAGGTCTGGTTTCAGAGGTGGAGCAGGAGGATATGAAGAGTCACAAGTTCTACATTATATCACCACCTACAACGAGAAGCAAAACAAAACCAACCCGTACATTTGCAGTGCTTTCCTATGAGCCTGTGGAGGGAGGGGGTGCTTTAGTGGTTCTTCGTGTAGAAAAACACTCTTATGACATTTCTTTAAAGCAGCAATATCAAAATCAAATCAAATGAGTTTATTTATATAGCACTTTAAAAACAACATCCAGTTGACCAAAGTACTTTACATGGCAGAATAAAATAAATAAGTAAAATAAAATAAATAGGTTCAATGCAAAAATAAAACAGCACAATAACTCACACAGATGACACATATTCAATAAATTAGATTAAAAGGAAGGCATCAGGCCCTACTGTGCATTAAAAGCCAAGCCAAATAATTATGTTTTAAGCAACGATTTAAAAGTACTGAGGGCAGTAGCTGACCTAACATTAAAAGGTGGACTATTCCACAGTTTAGGGGCTGCAACAGTAAAAGCACAGTATATCTGGTCCTTGGAACCTCTAAAAGAAACTGGCTTGAAGACCTGAGGGACCTGGTAGGTTTGTGCCAGTGCACTAATTCAGTGAAGTAAGATGGAGCCAAACCATTAAGAGCCTTAAAAACAAAAATCAACAGTTTCAAATTTATTCTAAAAACAGACTGGAAGCCAGTGGAGAGAAGCCAGTAACGGGGTTCTATGGTCGAATTTTCTGGTATTTCTGGTACTTGTCAGAAGACGAGCAGCAGCATTTTGAACTATCTGAAGGCGAGAGAGGGAGGACTGGTTCACACCTAGGTATACACACACACACACACACACACACACACGTACGTGCGTGCGTGCGTGCGTGCGTGCGTGTGTATATATTTTGGTGGACTGACTTTTGATAAGGTGAACAGCATCTATAACTGAACTGGCTCCGTTTAAGTCAGCTCTGAAAACATATTTTTTTAAACAAACTTGTTTTATGGTTCTTTTTAGGCTTTTATCTTTTAGTTTTTCTGAGTATTGTCAGACTGGACAGGAATTATGCTATAGTTCAATGAATGTACAGTATGTGCCTGTCATATGTTTACTTAGTTGACTGATTTTCTTTGATTGTATAGGCTCTAATTGCCTTGATGTAGCACTTAGTGCTCTCTGAGTTGGTAAGTGCTTTATAAATAAATTTTATCATTATTATTATTATTATTATCTCTGCTATCGCCACTGCGTCCCCGGGTCACCTGTTACTGCACTATATACGTTTGGAGATCTAAACAGAGCCTTCTGCTAGCTCAGTATTCTATGATTGTTAAACACATGCAGAAACAAATCCCTGGGCCTTGACTGAGTTTTGATATTTTTGTGGTCAGTCTATCCAGGTAACACAAATTTGGAATCTCCTCAGACATCTTTGGAGATGTGAGTGCTCCTTTTCTGACCAAGCTAGCTCTATTAGCAGGCAGCTACGTCTCATGCAGCGCAGTCAGCAAGGATGCTGGTGTTCTAATTGCTCTGTGAGAGTCAGGAAAGAGTCGGGTATCGAGTCCGATACCACCCCCTAGTACTCTACTCTGAGGTTTTCTTTCCCGGTTCAATAACAGCTTCACCTTGAAAACAAATGGACATGTGCCGCTGTCCATAAAGAGCGGGGACAGCACAAGTAGTGTTTATGACAGTTGGGTACAACTTAGTTACACTCAGCAACTGTAGGGGGAGACAAACTGCTTCAAGAGTATGTCACTGAAATAAAATTACAAACTGCTGTAACTAAAAAAGTGTTATTTCATTTAACAATAGAGCCTGTGTTGAGTATGACACGACTCTGTTGTGCCCCCACCTTGGCCTTCTCCTCTGACATCATGTACAGCTCCTGCTCGCTCATCCAGGCCTCGGCCTCGGCGGCATCAAAGTAGTACTGCTGGGCCTTGTGGGCCTCCTCCAGCCGGCCGTGTCGGTGCTCCACCTCCTCCGTCAGCTGCCTCCACAGCCCCTGCAGGTCAGCCAGACGCTGGCGGATGGCATCTTCGCTGGAAGACTTGTCCTGCAGGAGGCTCCGACTGCGCTCCAGGATGTCGTCAACACGAGGCTGATGACCCTGGATCTCCTTCTGTAGCGTCTGAGAGGAAGACACGGCAGAGCTCAGATCAGCATCAGCATCATCCTCATTCCTTTACCCTGATTATTTTTTTTAATTGTTGATGACATGAATGGCAGAGTTTTTTTCTACTAAAGAACCTCATCTCTCTCCACCTGCTCTGCCACCTCAAACCTCCTGGCCACAGGACCAAGCACTGAACCTGGGACAAGACAGGAGTAACACTCCCACACTCAACACAGTCGAAAGCCTCCTTTATCCATCCATTTTCCTCCGCTTATCCGGAACCAGGTCGTGGGGGCAGCAGTCTAAGCAAAGATGCCCAGACTTCCTTTTCTCCCGTTCCATCCTTCCCTCACTCGTGAACAAGACCCCAAGATACTTGAACTCCTCCACTTGAGGCAGGAACTCTCCACCAACCTGAAGGGAACAAGCCACCCTTTTCTGACTGAGAACCATGGCCTCGGACTTGGAGGTGCTGATTCTCACCCCAGCCGCTTCAGCTCGGCTGCAAACCGCCCCAGTGCACGCTGAAGGTCCTGGTTTGATGGAACCAACAGGACAACGTCATCTGAAAAAAGCAGAGACGAGCTCCTGTGGTCCCCAAACTGGACTCCCTCTGGCCCCTGGCTGCGCCTAGAAATTCTGTCCATAAAAATAATGAACAGAACCGGTGACAAAGGGCAGCCCTGCCGGAGTCCAACACGCACTGGAAACAAGTCTGACTTACTGCCGGCGATGCGAACCAAGCTCCTACTCCGGTCGTACAGGGACCAGACAGCCCTTAGGAAAGGGCCCCGGACCCCGTACTCCCGGAGCACCCCCAACAGGGCGCCGCGAGGGACACGGTCGAATGCCTTCTCCAGATCCACGAAACACATGTGGACTGGTTGGGAAAACTTCCATGAACCCTCCACCACCCTGAAGAGTGTATAGAGCTGGTCTAGTTTTCCGCGGCCAGAATGAAAACCGCATTGTTCCTCCTGAATCCGAGGTTCGACTATCGGTCGAATTCTCCTCTCCAGTACCCTGGCATAGACTTTCCCGGGGACGCTGAGGAGTGTGATCCCCTATAGTTGGAACACACCCTCTGGTCCCCCTTCTTAAAAAGAGGGACCACCACCCCTGGTTTGCCATTCCAGAGGCACTGTCCCCGACCGCCATGCAACGTTGCAGAGGCGTGTCAACCAAGACAGCCCAACAACATCCAGAGACTTAAGGTACTCAGGGCGGATCCACCCCCGGTACCTTGCCACCGAGAAGCTTCTTGACTACCTCAGTGACTTCAGCTTGGGTGATGGACGAGTCCACCTCTGAGCCCTCAGCCTCTGCTTCCTCATCGGAAGACATGGCACCGGGGTTGAGGAGATCCTCGAAGTATTCCTTCCACCGTCCAACAATGTCCCCAGTTGAGGTCAACAGCTGCCCACCTCCACTGTAAACGGTTTTGGCAGGGCACTGCTTCCCCCTCCTGAGGCGCTGGACAGTTTGCCAGAATTTCTTCGAGGCCAACCGATAGTCCCTCTCCATGGCCTCCTTTATAAAGTGGCTTTTAACCTGTCACTTTTAACCTGAGCCTTCTCCCATTCACCCTCGTTTTTTTCTGCAGTTGACCTACATCCATTTTGTCTTTTTTAATTTAAAAAGCCCATGGGCCTTTTCCTTCTTCTCCTTTTTTTTCTGACTTATCTACAACAGCAAATTCTCATCTTAGATGTAACTTAAAAGCTCAAAAAATTAGGTGTACGTACAGTATACCATTGTTTACCCATCTATGGAGAAGAAATCCATATTAATTAATGCCGTCGCAGTTCATTGAGCTGTCCACTTGTGACAACACCTGCAGCAGGAGTTGTGCATGTTCCTCTCATTTTTAGGAAGAGGCTCTGTTGGTGTCTGTTGTTTGTCTTCATCTTGTAAAGCATCATCGTCTCTGAGCACCCGAAACAAATTTATTTTTTGAATGCATGTATACAATGTTCAGTTTAGTTCTTAAATGTCCCCCTTATGAGAGGTGGAGCTCACTTTGGTCATGCCAAGCACCACCTGTCAAATACTCGTACCCACGTTCAGAACATGCTCCGACAATCGAGTCATGCCAGGAGTTGATGTAGTTCTGTCTGCTGTCTAAGATCTGAACTCCAGGTAACAGCAGTAGGTTCTCTCACCTGGTTCTTCTTGATGAGCAGCTGGACAGTCTGCAGGTTGTTTCCATGGTCGGTGGATGTGGCCACAGGCATCCTCTCCTGAGCCCAGAGCTGGAGACAGGACAACAAAGCCACACTGAGAAACACTGGCCATTTTGCACAGGAGCCTGGACACCTGCAACACAGTTCTCCTGATGGTGGCGCTAAACACGGTTCACCAACAGCTGAGGAGAATCCTGGTGGACATTAGCATGTCTGAACTCCTAGAATTTGATCAGCTGTTACCAAACATCCACTGTTTTTACACCTGGACAGGTAATGGGAGCCTCCAACAGCAGAACTTCATTAAAAACCTCTCACTTCGTATTTAATGTGGATGGTTTCACTGTCAGGTGACATCGCAAGATAGATTACTTACGATCTCATCTTCAATGTCACGGTTGAACTGATGAACTTCTCTTGATGCCACCAGAAAGTTCCTGCGGTGTCTCAGTGGCTCCAGCAGCTCCTGGAACTTCCTCTCCACCAGCTGCCTCCGCCCATCCACCTCCTCGGTGTCCTTCACCTCCTGGCCGAGAGCCCTCACCTGGCTCTGCAGCTCCACCACCTCCCTCTGTCGCACCTCCACCTGGTTCTCCAGCATCTGCGGGGAAGGAAGGAGGGCAGCGTCAGGCTCCTACTACTACTACTGCAGCAGTACTAATGCTATCTTAGCACTACTGCTACAATTCTAATACCAGTACTGCTACAGGTACTACTACAGCACTACTATTCTTTCTGATACATATGGTAACACTACAATATTACAAATATCACTGATAAAGACGTATTTAATACTACTAGTAATCAGTGGTATAAGTAATATTCAGGCCCTTTGCATATGAAAAAGTATTAATGTCGTATTAAAGATGCGTACATGTCCTGCCTCTGACAAGGGCAAGTACTATTAGCTAAATGTAGTAACAGTAGAAGAGCTCACTGTGCAGCCATGGCAATACCACTATAGTTACTTTCGTCAGCGAAAATTATGACTAAATATCGTCATCAACGAACCTTTATCACATGACAAAAACGAGACAAGATGCAACGAAAATGCTGGTCGTGTGATGATGACTATAATTAAATGCATATGTTATATTAAATGCAATATTGTTGACAAAAAAAACGAGACTAAATGTGGTTTATAAAATAAAAACTATGCCAAAATGTCTCTTTATTTTTGTTGACAAAAACGAGACAAAACGAAATGTTATAACGTTATTTCGTCTCGTTTAGTCATATTATTATTATTCTGCAGTATTTCTGTTTCCTGTGTCTCGCTTCAGGGGCCGCATCAGGTCGCACTGCACAGATGCAGGCGACGTCACTTCCTTAAGCCCCACTCGCGGCATTATTTAGAAGACGTCAACAAACAAAGCTAAGTCTGACACAGAGAAAGGGACCGATGGCCGGCCAGCCGGGGCTCGTCATTGGGAGAAAAAGAAGAAACGACATTTGGAAAAACTTTCATTATATAGAAGTGGAAAAGAAAAGGGAATTTGTTGTGGAAAAAGATGGGGAGAAATGTGGCCACATCACACAATGTGTATTGGATGTATTCTTGAGTCTATAAGGTAACAATAATATAATAATAGTTTTTCATAGCCTGGAAAGATAGTTTAATAACATATAAGAAAGCCCTTCATAGTGCTAGAACCGCATTTTATTCATCACTGATTGAGGAAAATAAGAACAACCCCAGGTTTCTTTTCAGCACTGTAGCCAGGCTGACAAAGAGCCACAGTGCTGTTGAGCTTAACATTCCCTTAGATCTCAGCAGCAATGACTTCATGAGCTTCTTTACAAATAAAATCACAACTATTAGAGAAAAAATTGGTCGGACCACTCCCACAGCTCTCACAGATGTGCCATCTACTACAATGGCTTTAGAAACATCTGTAAGGCCTCATTTATACTTGGACTACTTCTCCCCTATAGATCTCTCTGAGTTGACCTCAACAATTGCTTCATCTAAATCATCAACATGTCTCCTGGACCCCATCCCGACCAGGCTGCTCAAAGACGTCTTTCCCCTAATCAACACATCATACTAGATCTGATTAACCTCTCTCTATTAACAGGTTATGTTCCACAGGCTTTTAAACTTGCAGTAATTAAACCTCGACTCAAAAAGCCTACTCTTGACCCAGGTGTCCTAGCTAATTATAGACCAATATCCAATCGCCCATTTATTTCCAAAATCCTTGAAAAAGCTGTTGCAAAGCAGTTATGTGACCACTTGCACAAGAATGATTTGTTTGAGGATTTTCAGTCAGGATTTAGAGTCCATCATAGTACAGAAACCGCATTGGTGAAAGTCACCAATGAAATGTCCACACAAGAAAGGTGTTCCATCAGGGGTTGGTTCGCACAAGTATATAAAGACAAACACACACGCACACACCACATGTCAGGAATCGGCGCGTTATGCTGCCAAAAATGTTGAGGGTGAACTCAATTAAAAGGCCAGACAAGGAAATGTAAAACAAAACCGTCTCTTTAATAAGAGAACTAACGCTAAACAAAACCATACAAGACACGGTGAAACACAAAAATCACAGGTCGGTATAAACAGTCCGAGATCAGAGCCAGCAAACACATACAGCAGAGGAATCCAAATACGTAGTCCAAAGGGAAGTCCGATAATTATACACAGTGACAGTCTGAAGCAAGAGGGCAAGGCAGAACAGAATAGTCAGAGGAACAAGCCGGGTCAAAAACACAAAGTACCAAAACCGAAAAATGCTGGAGAGTGAGAGGTGGCGTCTAGAACAATCTGGCTGGGATTGGTGGGTGAAGGCTGCTTATGATGCGGTGCAAACTATAATGAGCAGGTGAAACTAATGCGGGTGATGAAGAAAGTAAAAAGACCAAAACTGTGGTGAAACAAAACAGGACGTAGCATCAAAATAAAAGCCTGACAGGAAGCAACACAGAACCGAATCATGACACCACACACACACACACACACACACACACACACACACACACACACACACACACACACACACACCACACACACACAC